ATATTAAAGTGTGATAAGTGGTTGGTGGATGAGTAGGTGATGGGAGACGACCCAATCAATCCGCACATCCCTCAGTATATTACTGAGCGCCCGTGGTACATTGACGATGGGGGGCGGGCGAGTTTGAGTCACCAACGGAACCACAAGGTCCGGAAGGAAAGTAGTTTTGTTCGTTGCGTGAAGAAGGGAGCCAAAGAGGACGCGGGGGTTGGCACCCGGTTTAAGAAAGGCGCCTGTCCGAACTGTGGGGCGACTTCACACTCGGTGAAAGACTGCATCGAACGGCCCCGGAAAAAAGGAGCAAAGTGGGCGGGGAGGAAGTTGGCGCCTGACGAATACATCCCTGTGAACGAAGACTTGTCGTTTGACGCGAAACGAGACCGCTGGGCGGATGAGGACGGACAGACTTACCAAGAGCAATTGGAATTGGACAGAATGTTCACATCTGATGGTGACCATGACCACCTCAGAGATGACCAGCTCAGAGATGAGGGAGACAGTGGCGCGAATGGTTCGCCGTTGAGTACGAGTTTGGCAGGCCCCGGTTTTTCGAGTTGTGCGAATTTGAGAATCAGAGAAGACACCGCCAAGTACCTAGTCAACCTTGACGTGGACTCCGCCTTCTTTGATCCCAAGAGCCGCAGCATGCGTCAGGATCCAACTTTCGGACTTGACGAAGCGCGTAAGGCCAAGATCGAGTTCCGTGGTGACAATGTTCTTCGTGAAAGCGGGGACGCTCCTAGAACGAAACAACTTCAAGTGTTCGCGTGGCAAAATGATCTGCACGCTGTAGCCAATCCCACCGCCACGGTGATGGACTTCGAGAAAGATCGCGCTCAGAAAAAAAACCGTCCAGATGACGCTGCCCTTGCCGCCAAATACAAACCGATCAACCACGTGTCCGACGATGAATAACCTTTATGGACTACCCCAACTCCTCACCGGCACCTCCTCACCGGCACCTCCTCACCGGCACCTCCTCACCGGCAACTCCTCACCGTTAAAACCCTAACCGTAAGGTAACGGCCAGCTCCCCCAACGGCCAGCTGAGGGACTACCCTGGCCGGGGTTGTCCTAAGCAATAAGATGAGGCCTAGGCGGAGGCGGCCTAGGCCTTCTTTTTGGCGGAGGCGGCCATTTCGCGGAGCACGTAGTTGAGGATACCTCCGTGTGTGTAGTAGTCAAGTTCAACAGGAGTGTCTATGCGGCAAACTGTTTCAAAGCTACGTCCGTCGCTGAGTAGTACGAGTACATTTGAGCGTACTCCGACTTTGGGAACATCGATGGAGTAAAGTTCATCACCAGTGAGTTGAAGTGTGTTAGCATCCTGGTCTTCGAGGAATTGGAGTGGTAGAACACCCATTCCAACAAGGTTAGATCGATGAATACGTTCGAAGGACTTAGCAATTACGGCAACAACTCCTAATAATTTAACTCCTTTAGCAGCCCAATCTCGTGACGAGCCACTACCGTATTCACTACCGGCGAGTATGATGCATTGCTTGCTAGATTGTTTGTATCGCATGGCGACATCAAAGACAGAAAGTTCTTCGCCTGATGGTACATGACGAGCGATTGGTCCAACCTTGGATGCCATCTTGTTTATCAGACGGATATTCGCTAGTGTACCTCTCACCATAACTTCATCATGTCCACGACGACTACCGTATGAATTAAACATTTTTGGTTCTACACCTTTTGAGATCAAATATTGGGCGGCTGGTGAATTCAGCGCAATCTTCCCAGCCGGCGAGATATGATCCGTTGTAATAGAGTCACCCAAACTCAGTAGACAATAAGCGTCAGTTATAGCCTTTAACGGCTTCGGCTCCGGCGTCAAATCATCAAAAAATGGCGGCTCATGAACGTATGTACTTGCAGGATTCCATTCATACAAGTCACCTTGTGACACCGCCATCTGCTGCCAGTTCATACTCCCTTTCATGATGGTAGAATAAGCCTTTTCAAACAAATCCGGTGTTAACTGCTGCTGCATATATACCTTGATCTCAGAATTGCTGGGCCACAAATCCTTCAGGAAAATGTCTTGTTCCTCGCTCTTCCCCAAGGGCTCCTTCTCAAAGTCAAAATCTATACGACCAGCCAACGCATAAGCTACCACTAAAGGTGGCGAAGCTAGATAGTTCGCACGCGTGTGAGGATTCACGCGGCCTTCAAAATTACGGTTGCCAGATAACACGGCGGCCGCCACCAGATCCTTTTCGGTAATGGCAGTGATGACTTCGGGCAGGAGATCGCCACTGTTACCAATGCAAGACTGGCATCCGAAACCAGTGAGAAAGAACCCGACCTTCTTCATGTCCTCATACAGACCGCCCTGCTCGAGATAAGCCTGTACGACGTGGGAACCAGGACTGAGACTGCACTTCACGAAGGGTTTGGCCTTGAGTCCAAGACGTGAGGCTTTTTGACACAAGAGACCGGCGGCAATCATGACACTCGGGTTGCTGGTGTTCGTACAACTAGTGATAGCGGCAAGAACCACCTGGCCATGTCTGATGGTGAAGGTCTCGTCGCCGAGTGTAATATCGCAACTGTGTTCGGCAGCTTCCTCGCTCAAGCCAAACCCTCGGAAACCTGTTGGGGCGATTAATTGTTTGGGGAATTCCGCAAACAAAGTTTTCACTAAGTTGTAGTCGTGAGGTCTCTTAGGACCTGCAATTGCAGGTTGTTGCGCGGCCAAATCAATTTCAAGCACTTTGGTGTACTTCGGTACAGGTGCATCTTGTGTGCGGAAGAGTGAATTCGCGCGGAAATATTTTTCTACAATCTCTGCATTGCGTCCCGTAGCGCGAATATACTCGCAGGTTTGCTCATCACATGGGAAGTAAGTTGTAGTGCAACCAAATTCAGGACTCATGTTACTTATAGTTGCCCGATCGGCTATGCTTAAATTGCTAAGTCCAGGACCGAAGAATTCCACCAATTTTCCTACAACTTTTTCTTGACGCAAAATCTGCGCTACTTTTAACACCAAGTCAGTTGCTGTAACTCCAACGGGTAATGTACCAGATACTTTCACACCAATTACATCTGGTAACAACATACAGATCGGTTGTCCTAACATAACCGCCTCAGCCTCAATACCGCCCACACCCCATCCTAATATTCCTAGACCAGAAATCATTGTGGTGTGAGAGTCCGTCCCCACAACAGTATCGGGGTAAATCATCTTCGGTCTTGTCCGGGAAGTGTCAGTAGTCTTACCACCATCAGTCTTACCACCATCAGTCTTAGCACCATCAGTCTTACCACCATCAGTCTTAGCACCATCTGTGTTAGCTGCAGGTTCATCGCCGTTATCAATAAAGGCAACACGACCCAAATATTCGAGATTCACTTGATGACAGATTCCGCTACCAGGAGGAACTACCCTCAAGTTATTAAACGCAGATTGAGCCCACTTCAAAAAGGCAAACCGCTCTTCATTACGAATAAATTCCAGTTCCTCATTCTTCCGATAACTCGCCTCTGAACCATGGTCATCCACAGCCACACTATGATCAATCACCAAATCAACCGGAACCAACGGATTTACCTTGTCCGAAGAACCACCCAACTTTACCACCGCACTACGCATAGCAGCTAAATCCACACCTGATGGAACACCTGTGAAGTCTTGCAATAAGACACGAGCAGGTTTAAACGGAATCTCCTCACGCACACCATCCGTCCACTTCAAAATACGATTCACATCCTCTGTAGTCACCTTAAAATTGTCGCAATTCCTCACCACGTTCTCCAACAATACACGAATACAAAACGGAAGCTCATCTTCAAAGAAGAATTTATACGAGTGAACGAATGAGTGAACGTCCAACCAGTCAACTTAGTCGGTGTATCACCATGTGAGTGTATCGCCATGTGAGTGTATCACCATCAGAGTGTATCGCCATCAGAGGGTTAATATATAATTGTTACAGTGTTGAGTGTGTAAGTCAGTACCTAATTTGTCCTTAGCAATATGTCTCAAATTGAAGTATGAATATTCATCGATCTGTTGTACCGACTGGTCGAATGGGTGTGTTAACATATCTAAATGGGTCGTCACATGGGATATTCAATTATAGTGTAGTGAGCGTAATGGATATCAATGATAGTGTAGTGAGCGTAATGGGTACCATACCAGTGTTGGAAATTGGGCAGCCAAAATTAAGACAGGTTCTGAACATTTTCGTGCTGTATAAAATGACGACAGCTGGTGGGTCTATGTCCAAGCATAAGTTGGTCTTCTTGGGCGAAGTAAGGTGTTATGTTATAATCCGCGCGCGTGTTTGTGTGTGTGCGGCATGTTCAACTTATATATATGGCTGACTTATTCTTTGACATTTCTTTGATGAATAGCAAGCAGTGGGCAAGACCTCCATAATTACGCGGTTTATGTATGACAATTACGACTCGAATTACCAAGCAACTATCGGCATTGATTTCTTGTCCAAGACGCTGTGGTTCGGAGAACGACCAGTACGACTCCAATTGTGGGATACCGCCGGTCAAGAGCGGTTCCGGAGTCTCATTCCCTCTTACATTCGTGACTCAAGTGCAGCCGTAGTGGTTTTCGATGTCACTAACCGACAGTCGTTCGACAATATTGACCAATGGATAAAGGACGTTCGTGCAGAACGAGGCAAGGGGGTGTACATCGCACTCGTCGGAAACAAGGTAGACTGCGAACCAGATAAGGAGAGACAAGTTACTACCCAAGAAGCCGAAGAGAAAGCCAAACAAGTAAGAAGGCCTACCCCCACCTCTGTTGCCCACTCTGTTACCCACTCTGTTACCCACTTTGTTACTATCTAACCCCCCCCCCCCC